GTCCTTGCGGGAGAAGTGGAGGACCCTGGCTTGTTCTGGGAGCCAGGCTCCCTGACCTTAGCACAAGGGAGCTGTTTCTTCCACAGGAAAAAGCTCTCATACAGACCCTGGGCCCGGCATTTCCTCCTCCCTCCCTCCCTGTCCCTTCCCCCTTCCCTTCCCTTTCCCCCTCTCCCTCCCTCCCTCTCTTTCTCTCCCTTTCTTCTCTTCAGCACTCACTGGTGATTAAACTCAGGGCCTTTGCACTAAGCTACATCACCCCCAGCCTTTTAGAAAAATGTATTTTATTTTAGTTTATTTTGAGAAAGGGTCTCACTAAGTTGCTGAAGTTGGGCTCCAACTTGTGATCCTCCTGCCTCAGCCTCCCAGAGTGCTAGAATTATGGGTGTGTACCTCCACGCCTGACTTTGGTGTGTTGTTTCTACTGTCCATTACCGTATTTTTGAAGTTCAGTTTGGTGGAAGTATTTCGGTATTTACCCTTCTTCTGGTATTATACTGATACTTTCTTTAAGTGGGGAAGAACGGAGGCCAGGCACAGTGGTGTCAGAAATGCTCTGCCCATCCTCCAAGGGTGCTGGCGCTGCAGAATTCGGGGTGCAGTGGGGAGTGGGGGTCATGAGGGACCTAAGCATGTGGGGGGGGGTCGAAGACCCCTTGGGAAAGATGATAAAGGATTTTCCTTTGAAAAGCAAAGGTGCACAAGCAGATTTAGCACTCACCATCTTGAAATCCAGGTCCCCGCTGAGGATCCAAGGGTTCCTAGTTCAGCACCTCTGGGGGAACCCACAGGCCCCACAACATCGGGAATAAGGGGATTTTCTTTTGGATTTTTCTTAGGATCAAGAGATATGAAGTTGTATTTCAGGTATTATGTTTATATCATAGGACTTGGGGAGGGAAGGAAAGTTATATTATTGGACTCCTTTTTATTTTTGTATTTTTTTGTTACAGGGTCTCACTACAGGTTGGCCTTCAACTCACTTTGTAGCCCAGGCTGGCCTTGAGCTCACAATCCCCCTGCCTCAGCCTCCTGAGGGCTGGGATTACAGGTGTGCCCACCATGCCTGGCCTACATTATTGGACTATTATTCCCCTCACCTCACACAAATATTCTATGGATGGGACAAGATATATAAACTGTGGAATATTGCTCAGCAGGTAAAAAGGAAAGAATCTGAGACACATGCTGCAGTATGGATGAGCCTTAAGGACATTGTGCTAAGTGAGATAAGCCCTACTCAGCAGGAAAGACACTGCGTGATTCATAGAGACAGTAGAATGGTGGTTGTCAGGGCCTTCAGTAATAATGGGTAGAGAATTTCAGTTCTTCTTTTTTTTTTTTTTTGATACCAGGAATCGAACTCACAACCTCCTGCTTTCCAGGCAGGTGTTATGCCACTGAGCCAAACCCCCACCCCCAAGAATGTCAGTTTTGAAAAAGTTGTAGACATTGAGCAACTATGTAAACACACGGAGTGAGTGAAAAACATTGTGTACATTTACATTTAAAAATTTATTCCAGCCGGGCATGGTCTCATACTCTAACTACATGAAGATCATGATACACTGTACTGATTGTTATTCTCTTGCTATTTTGTTCAGAGATTTTGTTTTATCCTTTCACAAAGTAAAGATGTGCTCTCCCTCACTTCCAGCACACTGGCCCAGCAGTTTGGCTGCTTTGGAGCAGCTCTGGAAGTGCTCTTTCCTGAGTGTCTTTAGGAGGTGTGACCAAAACCGTGGTGAATGCTGCCGCCGAGCGCCCGTCCACAGAAAGGCAGCGTCGTAAAAACATGACACCGTGTCCTCACCCACCTTCCTCACCCGATCTGGCGGCGTGAGACTGCAGGCTGCTCCCCAGGGTCAAAATGACCGCGACACGTAGGCGTTTTCGGCTGACTCAGGACATCCAGGTGGTCACCACAGCACAAATAAAGCCCCCCAGGAAAGAGGATGCGGGGAGCGCCGCCACCCCCTTTGCCCTGGTTCTGCGGGCTCTCGGGCTGGGGCTGAGCGTGTCCCTCCTCGGCCCTTGGTCTTGCTCCCCATGTATTTTCCTCTAGGAAGGCAGCTGTGACCGTCCTTCAGGGCTCTACACGGTGCAAAGGGAAACCTCGGGCTTGCCTGTGATTCACCGTGCAGGAACTCTTCCTTTGGTGGAACTCATCCTTTTTATTACAGGAAGTAAATACGTGTTGCTAAGCTACTCTGTCCGGCAAAAAGAAATCACACAGTGGATTCCATTGTCCTCTTCGTGCTGTCGGAGAGTTGATTCCTCGATGCTAATCCGGACCTTTTGTTCTTGGCCTCCTTCAGCTGAGGTCAGCTAGGGTTTGGTCATGGTGTGCTTGGTGTAAACAGAAGAAAAGGCCTGACTCATAATTTCCCACGAGAAAACGGTAGGCTTCCTTAAACTGTCTCAAAGGAATTGGAAAGCATTTATTGGTTCACAGTTTCAGGTCTACATCTATCTATTTAGTTTTCTATCTGCGGTCCAAAAACCTGGCAAACATTGGATTGAATCTTGGTGTTGTGCAGGAAGCGAATACAGGTTGCACAAGTCACTTTCAAGAGCTGCAGGTGCACGGTGGCATACGCTTGTTCATCCCAGCAATCTGGAGGCTGAGGCGGGAGAATTACTGTGAGTCAAGGCCAGCTGGGCTACCTGGTGAGTTCCAAGCCAGTGTGAATTACATACCGAGATCCTGTCTAAAAAAAAAGAAACCAAAAACTTGTGACAGCGTCTTTTATTCTCCACCTCTGAGAAGAATAAACTAGGTAGGGACTGTTTTAAGCCAAAGCTGGAAAGCTCAGGCCAGAGGAGAGGAGGAGCATGGGGCAGGCGTGCTGTTTCCCCAGAGGGAGCTCAGAGTGTTGAGTGACGTCATTGCCCGCATCAGACACCCCGTACCCGGGCGGTAGGAGGGTCCACGGGAGCGTCCCGTCCGCACAGCCTGTGGACACAAAGTCAGTCTGCACACATGTGTGAGGAAGAAGACCCCAGAACGGAGCCAGCGGTGAGGTCGCCCACAATTCAGGGTCCTCAGGAAGGGGGGCGGGCGCTGCAGTGGCTGTTCCACCCTGGCTGGCTGGGTGTGAGGGCGCCTGCCCAGGCCAGCACAGCAGCTCGAGTTGGCGGAGCAGGGCGGTTCCCACCTGCAGGTTGTTGCCTTCTTCTCATGTGTGAGTGAGAGCTGGCTGTGCGGAGCCCCGGGAGGTGGTGTGTCTGTCCCCTGTGTGCAGCACGGTGACAGAGACGGGCTTGCCCGGTCCACTGGGGCCATCGCGATGAGTGAGAAAAAAATTGCTTTATTTTAAAATTTTATTCTTTGTCTTTTTGAGACAGGGTCTCGCTATGCAGTTCAGGCTGGCCTTGAGCTCACTTCGTAGCCCAGGCTGGTCTCGAACTTGCAACAATCCTCCTGCCTCAGCCTCCCAAGTGCTGGGATTACAGGCGTGCACCACCATGCCCAGTGATCAAAAAATCGGTTTAATATGTGCTCCAACCTGCAACTTGCAAAGGGGTACGGGCTTCTGATGACATGAACCCTCCAGACTACCTCTAACGTCATATTCTTTCACCTCCCGACCTGGACTCTCACGGCACTGGCCACGGTCAGGAGCCTGAGCTCTGGGTCAAGCGTCAGATTCCAAATCCCAGTTCCACCATCAACTGACAAAGACCGTCCAAGGCCTCGGCTTCCTCCGACCTCGCAGAGCCCTCACCTGAGCGGGAGCTGTGTGGTCGCCGTGGCCATCCGCAGCACGCAGCACCTGCCCTGACTAAGTAGCGCAATCGGTGTTTACCGTGATCATTCAGGAAGCCAAAGCCTCTCAGGGCCCTGGCTCCGCCCCACTGGTTTGTGGGAAGAACAAAGGACTGGTTTTGTGCTCTGGATCCAAAGCTGTGAAAAAGTTTTGGCAACATATTTGTTTTCTATTCTTTCATCTGGTGAGTTTTACACACCTAACTTCTACACTGTTGAGATATACATGCTGAGCATGTGACTTTGGCTTCAACGCATGTGGGGAGTGTTTGTGGAGTGAATACGTGCTGTGGGTCAGATCGGGTGGTGATGGCACAGAAGCACAACCCAGTCCCTGCACAGTGACGAGGCAGATACAGACCGCTGGGGGCCGGGCAGCATGGACAGTGGGGCTGGGGCAGCGCCTGGGAGAACCCGGGTACAGAGAAAGTGAATAAGATTGGGGGACGCTTCTGCTGTGGAAAGCCATGGGCAAGAATAGCGAGGTGCACTGGGCAACTCAGAGAAAGCCCGGTCCCCAGTATGGACCGAAATCTGGGAGCGGGGGACAGAGGTGGGGAGGGCTGCTGACTGTGGAGTCCCCCGCATGCGCCACTGGGGCCTCCACCTGCAGCCCTGAGGCTGGGAGCTGTTGATGGATCCGTGTCCATGCTGGGGACGGATAATCCCGCGTGCAGGGCGGCTGGGGGTGAGGACATGGGCAGGGGTTTATACGGAGACCTTCGGCCCCCTGGGGAAAGGTGAGGCAGGGAGGCCGAGAAGAGGCTGCAGGTGACCCCCGGACTTGGAGCTGCTGGGGTGTGCAGCGGGACCGTGCAGAGGGCTGACCCCCAGGAACCCAGGTCAGGCGACCAGGGGACAGCGGTGCCTCCCACCGAGGTTATTTTTACACCACAAGGGGAAGAACTGGTTGTGTGGGTGGAAGACGATTTGCTCTGTTAAAATTTTTTTTTAGTTGTAAATACAGAATTTGTAATCTAGGGAGATAAGGATTCGAATGTGCTTTTCTTTCACCGCATCTGGAATCCGGTAATCCAAGAAATGAGCGCAAGAGCTGAATCCCCGGAGCGTGTGTGAACAGAAGTCCACAACCCCGGGGTCCTGGCCGGGGCCAAGAGAAGTGGAGCCCGAGCTGCCCTCCGTGCTTCCAACAGGGAGAGAGAGCTTTAAAATTTTGAGAAAGGGGGAGACAAGACACAGGAAGAAAGCTCACATAATAACACTCATAAAATAATTAGAAGTCAGTTTATGTCTTTTTCTGGACATTTAGCTAATTGCATTTCAATAGCTTTTCCAATGTCCTTGGATGGAGATGCTAGAATAAGGTAGAAGAGCAAACAATGTGGCCAGGAGGGGAAGGCGGGGCAAAGGGACCTGGGCGACCCCCGGGCTGGTCGCTCCCTGGCTTCCGTCAGAAAGAAGCTTGAGAAGGTGAGACCAGAAGAAGTAAAGGCCCATCTGGGGACATGCCACCAGCTGGTGAGTCTGGGGACGTCCATCCCGCAGCCTCCTGTGGGCTCAGTAGCAGAAAGGGCCTGCGTGCTTTCTGAGCTCCAGCTCCGGTAGAGCTCTTCGTCTTGCTTTGGGGCCCTGGATAGCATGAGAAGGGTTTCTGCCCCGAATGCACTGAAGTGGGAGAGGAGAAGCTGCAGCCATCCTCCTGCGCTCAGATGCCACTCCAGCACACAAAGGGCTCCTTAGAGCTGCACTTGACAGCGCGCCCAGCAGATGCCTGATGTCAGCGGGAGAGGGCCGTGGGTGGGTGTCCCTCGGCTGACTTCCTCTCCTCTCCCTGCCAGGGCTTCCTCGTCCAAACCTGTAATCCCCGCCCCGGCAATTCCAGGCCTGGGTGTTTCTTAAGCAAATAGAGCAACTCACACCAGAGTTAGGGGTTCCACCTCTCAGCAGTTGTATCCCAGGGCAGGCGCTCATGAAGTCTGTGACTCAGTCTCACCAACGTCTTCTAGGCCTTTGATGTCCTCCTCCTCCAACACTTGCGTCTCCGAGTAACTGCGCCTCTGTGTACCAGTAACACCTGTTGCACGCTCTCCTGTTTCCTAGTGATCTCAGTGGGAAGGGTGGCACGTAGGGACCGTCTTACTCTCCGCCGTCTCCCGGGCTGTGTCTTACCGCTCAACCACACGGGAAGCTTTTGGTGACTGGGAAGGAAGGTGCCCACCGCCTCCCTGGGTAAGTGCGGTTTCCTCTTCCTCTTCGCTGTCCCCGAATCTGAGTCTGGAAACTGTCAGGCCGGAAACTGTTCACCAAGTGCCATGGATTGGGGTGCAGTGCACACACTGTGGACGTCTCCAAGGTGAAAAAGAAAACGCACATAGCCAAGCACTGAACACAGGGTTTCTACGCAAAGCCAAGCCAGTGCCCACCCCCCGAAGCACAAAGCCTGGCAGGAGGGATTCCTGCTAGGCACCTGCCATGCACTGGGCACTGTTCTACATTTTGCCCAGGCGTCATTCTGGGCAGAACTGATGCCCATGACAGTCCCTCGCTCATTGCAGAGGAGGGCACTGCTCACAGAAGGGTTAAATGATCTGCCCAAGTTTGGAACTGGATTTCACCCGTAGGAGTTGGACTCTGGAACACAAGATGATCTTGTTCCTTGTGGGCCATTTAAGTCTGTTTGTATCCCTAAGCTCATTCTCCTCAGCTTTCTTCTGGAAGTGTTATTGTTTTATTGTACATTTGGATCTACACCACCAAGGATTACCGGTATATGCCACCACACCTGGATCTACACCCCCAGGAATAGGTTTTCGTGTCGACGTGAGGTCAAAATGAACTCTTCCCTCTTGGGTCCCCAACTGACGGTGCGTCCTTTATTGAAAGCAGCCACGTCTCCTACTGTGCTGCAGTGTCACCTTTGCCGTAAGGCAGCTGAGCCTGTACTGCTTGTCAGGTACTGGAGTCTAGATCCCACTCTACTGCTGAGCTTATCTTCGGGCCAAGAGTGCGTTGTCTGAATTACTATAGCTGATAATACAAATATAATATTATAGGTGTAGTATGTCTTGATATCTACAAGTATAAATCTTATTTTCAAGATTGCCTTGACCATTTTTGGTCCATGTATATCCACAAAAATTTTAGGATTATTATGCCAGTTTACACACATGCACACATTCATGCTGGGGTTTTGGGGGGACTGAATTGCATCTACAGATAAATTTGGGAAGAATTGATACCTTAACTATATTGGGTCCATGAATATGGTGTACCTCCTCTGTTTTAAAAAATTTAATTCTCACAATAATCTCATGCAATTTTTTGTATAGATGTGTAATTCAATTTGTTAGGTTTATTTTAGGTATTTGATTTTTAAAAATGAGATTGTAAATGTTATCTTACAAAACTTTCATTTTCTCATTGTTGATTATAGTATATAGGATTTAATGCATTGACCTTGTAAGTATAGCCTTGCTTTCCTGTATTAATTGTAACTGTAAAGTGTTTTAGATTTTTTTTTCTAGTATTACAATGTTTATTGATAGATGCAAGGACAGTAGTGCCTCAGTTTCCAAACTTGTTCTATGATTCTGGGGAAGACAGGAAGACAGCTGCATTTGTGTTTGTGTGGGGAAGAGAGCTGTGCTCGTTTTTGTTACCTGATTTTGAGTTTTTGAGTGGAAGCAAAAATTGTGCTGAAATGAATTGTTTGCAAACAGAAGCATTTGTGAACTGAGGTGTTACTATATCATGAACATGACAAGGCAAATTAACTGGACGTAACTTCAATACTACAATAAGTGGTTGCCGGTGTGGTGGCGCACACCTGTAATCCCAGCACTCAGGAGGCTGAGGCAGGAGGATCATTGTGAGTTTGAGGCCAGCCTGGGCTACAAAGTGAGCTCAACGCCAGCCTGAACTGCATAGTGAGACCCTGTCTCAAAAAGACAGAAAAACAAAGCAAAACAAAACAAAACAATGAGTGGGAACAATTTAAATCTCACCATTTGTTTCACACCCCAAAAACTACTTCAAGGGCATGAATGACCTCTTAAAACTCATCAGTTTTGTGCAAGTAAATCAAATTTCTTTGAGAAATACTTGTGCGCTTGGCCAGGGTCACAGATGTTAAAATCCAGCACCGAATGCTCTTTAGTAGCGGCAGAAATACAGGCAATATGTACTGTTTTATGGCAATGACCATCAAGCTGAGTTAAAAATTTTCCTGTAACAACCTAGTAGATAATCAACAGTTGCAACTACATACATATTGCAGAGAAAAGCATATTCCTTCAGTACCCTAAGTTGCTATTCAGTTTTCTAACTTAAAACAGCTACTGACAGCTGGCAGTAAAGATGAAGAACTTGTGATGCTGCTAATACACTATCTCAGTGTCTGGGATGTAGCTTAGGGGTAGAGCACTTGCCCAGAGTGCACAGGGCCCTGTGTTCAATCCCCAGCATGCTCGTGCGCATGCACACACACACATACACACACACGATTTAAGTATTAGAAGTACTCCTGAAATATTTGACAGTAGACTATCACACTAGAAACAGGGCCAGTGCAGAAGGGGCCACAAAGCGAGGTGCTTGTGCTTCTGATGTGGAAACCTCACAGCGCAGTGAATGTCCGCAGGGCTCAGGTCCAAGGCAGTCACATCCCAGGACAGGGCGTCCTGCGGAGTCAAGGCTGGTTCTTTTGTCAGCTTTGTCTCTGATTCTTCTGCAGGCTTTGGCCAGGTGAGCTGCTGTCCCACTTGGAACAAAGCCTTGCCGTTCCCCAGAAGCTCTTGGCTTTGATCTTTCCCACCCGAGCAAGCTTCTGCACTCATTTCCCTGTCATAGAAGTGAGAGAAGAGCGGAACCTTCTGCCTTTGGGAAGCCGCTGAGCCGTGTGTCCTGCAGTCATGAGGAACTGTCGTGCAGGTCCCCGCACATGAGGGACTTTCTGTGCTGCTGGCACCGCTGAAAGAAGCGCTTGAGCCTCCTGCTCTTCCTTTGAAGGGCACCGGAAGGAAGGATTTGCTTCATTACCGGGTGTGTTTGCTCCACTAGAAACACCCAACAAGAAGCTGCCCACCAAGATGCCCCCCAATCCTTTCTCCACACAAGGTTTGGGAGAGATGTTATCTCTAAGCCATTCATTTGTGGTTTCGGGGGGTGGACCCAACTGTATGAACTATATCCCAACTGCTCCTTCCTCAATTTGAGAAGCAAGCTCAATAAACCCTCTCTCCTTTCAAAATCTCCAACATGTGGTCTTTATTCTGATAAATTTCTGGGGGCATTTTTCTGGGTCTTTTTGAGACAGGGTCTCGCTATGCAGTTCAGGCTGGCCTTGAGCTCACTTTGTAGCCCAGGCTCGTCTTGAACTCGCAAGGATCCTCCTGCCTCAGCCTCCTGAGTCCTGGTATTACAGGCATGCACCACCACGCGTGGCCCATTTTCTGCATATTGACCTTGCTTTGTTGAAAAAGTTGTGTAAACCATTCTTGATCTTGTTGTTTTGCTGGTTGCTGAAGACAAAGAAGAGAGGAAGTGGGGGCCACTTGCAGGGGTTGAAGCGTGGATTTCTTATGCACACAGTCATGATGTCGATAAACAGTGACACTTTTATTTCCTTTTTCCCATTTCCTATGACTTTGATTTCTTTTCCTTGAATTAGAGGTATTCCAGAATACTATTGACAGTTGGCATTCCCACGTTGGGGGTGAAACCTTGAACATTTTGCTATTTAACATAGAATTTGCAGTAGTTGTTGTTTTTAAAAGATACTCTCAAGACGGTGAGGGTAGCTCAGTGGTAGAGCTCTTGTACAGCATGTGTGAGGCCCTGGGTTTGATCCCCAGTATCACAAAAATAAACCAATAAATAAATAAATAGCTACTCTAGTTGAGGAAGCTCCCCTCTGTTCAGATAGTAAGAATCACAAAAGAAAACCACAAATGGGTGTTGAATTATTTATTTAATAATGCAGTGCAGTGATTAAATCCAGGGCATTTCGGGCAAATGCTCTACTGCTGAGCTACACCCCAAATCCTGAGGGTTGAATTCTGTGAAGTAATTTGTCTTCTTTTTTCTGTTATTATATGTACTTATAATTGAATATGAAATGAACCGCATTGGTAACTTTTTTTCCTGAGACAGGGTCTTACTATGTAGTTCAGGCTGCCTTCAACTTGCTATGTATATAGCCCAGCCTGGCCTCAAACTCCCAGCAATCCTTCTGCCTCAGCCTCCTGAGTGCTGGCATTACAGCCTGGCTCACACTGATGGATTTTTTTTATGTAATTTTTTTTTATGGTGATAAAATACACCTCACATAGAAGATGACCATGTAACTGTTTTTAGATGTGCAACTGAGGGGCATTAAGCACATTCTCATTGTTGGGCACCTGGCACCATTACCCATTTCCAGAGTGTTCCATCGTCTCAAACAGAAATTTTATACTCCTTAAGCAATATGTCCCTGTGCCCCTCTTTCCTCAGCCCTTGGTCTCCTGCAGTGTATGTTCTGACTCTGTGAAGTTAACTGTTCTAAGTATCTTACATATGTACAGTCATGCAACAATTATCTTGTGCTCAGCTTATTTCATTTTAGCATCGTGTCCTCAAGGTGCATGCATATTGTGTCAGGACTTCATTCTTTTCTGAGCTGTGTAATACCCCATTGTGTGTGCCGGCTGCATTTTGTTTATCCATCCCTTTATTGATGGGCATTTGAGTTGTTTTTTTTTTCCCTATCTTAATGACTTCTGTTGAACCTGATCATCTCTTTAAAGTCTTAATCTTGAAATATGGTTACATTCTGAGGTCCATGGGGTTGAGCTCCAACCTATGAATTCTATGGGGACACAGTTTGGCTCATGGTGCCCGTCACGGCTGATGCAACCGTCCCTCCCGCTGTTGGGATCAGACACCCTGGGGTCATCCCTGACTCTGCGCTTTCCCTTCATAACCCACAGCATGAACAGATCTGCTTGGCCTTTCTTAAAAAATGATTTACAACCAAAGATTATAACCTCTCCCACCTTCAAAACCACCACTGAGGCCCATCACTGCACCGTACTGTTACAGTACCCTGCTCCCCCTTCCTTCCTTCCTTCCCTTCTCTCCTTTTGAAGGTCTCACAGTGTGGTTTAGGGTGGTTTTGAATCCTGGAGCTCAAGCGATCCTTCCGCCTCAGCTTCCTAAATACTGGGCTTATAGGCATATTACCCTATGCCCAGTTACATTTACATCCTATTTCATCAACTTATACTTTCATTTTATTTTTGTTACTTTTGAATTTAGTTTACTGTTCCTGTACTAATTTCCTGGGACAGTTAATTGATTTTCAATCTTTTTCTTTTAATCTTTTAATCTTTTTCCTTTTTCTTTTAATCTTTCTTTTCTTTTAATCTTTTTCCTTTAGCTATAATTTTAACTGCTTTTCACAAGTTTTTTTTAACTTTAAAAATTAGACTAAATTAAACTTAATTTTTGTGGTGCTGGGGGTCGAACCCAGGGTCTTGTACATACAAGATAAGAGTGCTACCACTGAGCCACATCCACAGCCTCTGCATTCCACAAGTTAATGTTGTATTTTCATTATAACAGAGTAAATAATATTTTCTATTTTTTTTATTATGCTACTTTTTGACACAAGTTGGCTTTTTAAAATATTGATTTATTTTTAAGGGCAAATTGCTTAATTTATAAACATTTCATCATTTCAGTGTGGTCAGCAAATATACTCAGAATAATCTGAATAATTTGAAATTTGTTGGAAATTTATTTATAGACAGCATAAGGTCAATTTTTGCTCATGTGCTATTGGAATGAATGAATTCTCTTTTGTTGTTTGGTGGAGTATTCTACATTGTCAAAGAAGTCAAATTTTTATATAAATAAATCAAATTTTACTCTTCTTTCCTGTATCCCTACTGATTAATTTTTTTTTCATAGGCTAAAATTTTTTTGCTCAAATCTCTCCATATAGGGCTGGGATAGTGGTACAGCATTTGTCTGGCATGCAGGAGGTCCTGGGTTCAGTCCCCAGTACCACAAAATAAAGCAAAGCAAAATAAAAACAAACCCTAAAACCACCAACAGCATTGATAAAAAAAGCCACAGCCTCTCCCCTCCACGTGGGTATTTCTTCTTTCAGTTCTTTAGTTTTTAATTCTACATTATCTGGTGTATATTTCTTTAAAATTATTGTATTTTCCTAAAGATTCATATTTTTACTATTATGATTATCCCTTTTATCTTTAGTAATGTTACTTGCCTGTAAGTTCACTTTGCTTGATATTAATACAGATATAAAACTTTTTGTTAGTATTTGCATGGCTTAGTTTTTTCTGTCTTTCAATTTCTCTGTGTCCCTATTTGGGAGCATATATCTGGTAAGCTGCATAGCTGCTTAGGTAGCCACTCTGTTTGTTTATTACTTATTATTTTGGTGCTGGGGATTGAACCCAGGGCCTTGCCCCTGTTGTGCATGCTCTGTAGCACTGACCTACACTCTCAGCCCCTCTTCTGTTTATTGCTAATGTATCTGCTGAGATACTTGGGCTTATAGCTATATTCAATATTTATTTTCTTCATGTTCCCCTGTTACATGGTCCCTTTCCCTACTTTTCACTTTAAGTATTTTTAAATTTCATTTTCCTTTGTAACCTACTTGTGATATATTCTTTCCCTCCTCTTTTAGTCAATACTTTAGAGATTATGATACCATTCCTTGACTGACGTGTGTAGACTGTAGTCCATACTTCTAGCACTTCCTAAATAATGCTCCCTTGACAGCCAAGTCTGACTCTCTTCCTCTGTCCGGTTTTGGTTTGCATTTTAGCCCTGTGCACATTTCCAACCCTAAAACTTTCTTGCTGCTTGATACAGTCAAAATTATGTGACATATTTATCCTTTCCATTCCTGAAGTTTTGTATTTTCACCTGGTGTTATTTTCCTTATGCAAGTATGTTCATGAATAGTTCCTTTATTTATTTATTTTTCTTTTTTTGTTTTTGGCACTGGGAATCAAACTCAGGACCTTGTGCTTGCCAGGCAGGCGCTGTGCTGCTCAGCTACATCACCGGCCCGATTATTATTTCCTTTAATGGAAATAATGGGAAATGAATTATCTATTTCTATTTGTTTGAAATGTCTTTAATTTAGCTTCATTTTAAAGTAAATTTTCACTAGGTATAGATTAGCATTTATTTTATTTCAGCATTTTAACGATACCATATCATTCCTTTAGTTTTTTATTGTCATTGTTGTTTATTTGTTTTTGTTGAGGGGCATCCAGTTTCTATTAAGAAACAATCTCTCGGTCTTTTGCTTTTGTTTCCCTTCTGTTTTTTGTTTTTTTTTGGTTTTTCTCTGGTACCGGGAACCGAACTCACGACCTTGTACTTGCCAGGCAGGCGCTTTTGCCGCTGAGCTAAATCCCCAGCCCCATTTTTGTTTCCCTTCTGAAAGCACTGTGTGTGTTTCCTCTGGGTGTTTTTATGGTTTTCTCTCTTCCTGGCGGTTTTATGCTAATGTACTAAAGTGCGGCTTGCTGTGTGTTTCTTCTACTTAGGGTTCCAAACATTTACAATTTTTCCTTGGTGGCTTTTGTAGGTTTTTGAAATATTCACGTTATTATCCTCTCAAGTGTTGCTTCTGCTCCATTTTGTGTTGTCTCTTGCTAGCTTTCTGTCACTGAGATA